GTAGTATAAAGGGGATGCTCAGTCAACGAGCAAGCAGATTAAATACAACTTCTACTGTCTTCCTGCAGCGGCATTGACCTTTCTGCTAATGCTTACGTTTGCGGTGATTACAGTGTCTGTCAACAGCAGCCCATTCGCCAGTGTCTGCCTGCATCGGAATATGAATGCATCGTTCCACAATGTCAGTGCCGGCAATGCGCCGCAACTGGAACTACTTGCGATGCCCATTGCAACCCTGCTGATTAACAGTGCGGTAATGGGCCTCTTGCTGAAGGGACACGACCGCCGTGCGCCCTTCGACATCTACATCCTCGCGCTGCTCCTCATCGACACGCTGTACGCGCTGTTATTCTACCCGCAGAAACTGCTGATGCTAGCCCGCGACTACCAGGTCGGACGTTCCGCCTGCACCTTGTACCTGTACTGCATGTACGTCTTTCCGGCGCTGGTCGTGCACCTGCACTTGTTAATCGTCATCAACCGGGTCTAATGGTAGATCCAGAATAGATCCACAGACGGAGACAGAAACGGAATCTATCCCGTGGAAGTGAGCAATACGATCTGGATTGCGAACTATTGCGAAATCACAAAACGTCGCACCGTAAACTGCTGACTTTTAATATTGAAAGTCTGGAGAACAGAAAATCAACAATTGATCGGCGCAGCTCGATCGTAAAACGTAGAGCCAATTCAACAGCGTGCAACGCTGTGCAGCACGTGCTATGCCGCGCCCACTAACACAACTCAAGCCAATCAGAAGAGACACAACACAGACATGTAATCCTAAGGCGTAGCGCCACAGGCGTAGCGCCACTGACGTGAACGCTAGTGATCCCGGTCTCACATGCCTCTGGGGGGATGCCGAGCTCCTGTGAGGCTGGACACACTCCCGAATCCACGAGAAGACGACGGTCGCCGGTGTCTGTGCGTGCTCAAAAACATCAAATTCTCTTAATCCATTTTATCACATCAATTCCGTAAAGGCACAATTCCATTTAATACAATGTGAATAAAGAGATCCAATTATAAAAATACTATCAAATCATTAGGAACAGATCAACAGTAACAGATCAACAAAAGTATTAATCAAATTGTAGACTAGGATCCTCCATTTCTGACTCGCAAAGGTCACAGGTCCTGTCCACCGTTTTCCGCACTTTTAATCCATTCCGCTCCGTTGAGCAATTTCGCGCATCCGTAATGCGACTTTCATCACAATCCGCTTTGAGAATCGGGTGCGTATCAAGTACGACTTAGGAATACTGCTTCATCTTTGGAATATGGTGCGTATCAATTGTACGACTTCAAAATGAGATCCGTAAAGGTAATGGAGGGACGTCTTTAAGACAAGCGTAGTTCGCTTCCTCCCTGGTAACGGTCATCCTTTGTTGAGATGATCTGTTGAGATGTGCGACTCATTTTGGGTTAATGGTCCCAAAGGTCATGCGACTTAAATTCCAATAGGGTGACTCTGTTGGGCAATTGATGATCCCAAAGGTCATCCCACTCGTCAAAATTTCCATTAAAGGTCATGGAGGGACTTAGCCAATTTTCTGCGGCTTTCAAGCACTTCTTCGCTTGCCTCCCTGGTAAAATTTGCAGTTTGACCTTTCCGTCGCACATCCAACTTCAGTATGCCTCGAGCGGCCAGAGTGCCGGCAAGTTTACCGTAGCATCTCTGATGGGGCCGGCTAGTTACCGCATTGAATTTACCCCATGAAATTTCCACCTTAAGTCTTTTACTCTTGTTCGCCGCTTGTGGCTAACATCCATTACTACGAGAAATCCGGCTTGATTACCGTAGTTTTTCTCGTTTTAATTTTAACACTGAATCGCTTGAAAAGAGTGCCGGCATAGTTTACCGTAACAACTCTAATGAGGCCGGCTAATTGCCGCATTAAGTTAACCTCATCAATATTCCACCTGTTGTCTTTCTCTTTTTCGCCGCTTGTGGCCCCGTTTCGTATTCAAGAGATCCGGCTTGATTACCGTAGTTTCTCTTGTGCATTTATAACACTGAGTCGCTTAGAGAGGAGGGCCGGCTAACTGCCGTAGCAACTCCCTTGGGGCCGGCTTTATAGACCGAATCAATTTCAACCCCAATAGATATTCCACATGATTTCTTTTAGGCAATTCTGTGCTATAAACGCTGCAAACAACAAATACACAAATACAGTTAATGTTAACATGTCACGTGTCACGCCCTTTATACAACACCATTTTCATCTTTTGTGACGTACCGACAAATGCCGTAGACGTCCTTTTAATAGTGTGATCCTAACGATCAGCACTATTCCATTTCATTTGAATCGCCCTCGCCATCTCTCGGCGGGCGTTTCTTAGCGCTTTCCGGTTGGTTTCGATCGGAAGTTCGGTCAACTGGTTCCGTCGAGTCAACTTCCATGACCTTTGCCGGATCAACTTCGCGCTGGCCACGACCTTTCCCTTGGCGACTGCGCTTAACCGCCTCTAGTCGATGGCGCGCATCATTTTCTTCCAGTCGCAGCCTTCGATTATCAGGGTCATCTGCCAATCGACGCTGCACGTCGGCGAGATTATCCCGCAGCTGTTGGTTTCGTATGCCGCGTCGTCCCATCTGGTTAGGCGCACGGTCTGGGCGACGGTCACTTTTCTTCACTAAGAATTCATCAATGTAAGTTTCGATTCCGTCCACCGGTTCAACGTAGTCACTTCCCAGAGAATCTTTGATCTTATTAATCCTTTCTTCAACTTGGGATGCGTGGCGCTGTGTCAAGTTGCCCTTTCCATTCGTGTCTTACACTTTTCAGCGCCTTGCGAGCCGTATGCGCTATGCTGATATGTTCCATCGGTTGTCCCAATTTAGCGACATGAGCTCGGAAGAACGGTGGAATGTCGTCCTTCATGGTATTAGACACCAATTGATTCTGTGTCTTGTAATGTGCCAGTCTCGCAGCAAAGACCTTTTGCCCCATCCTTTTTGCGGCATAGTCCTTCGGATCCACCTGTAGTCCTATCGATGCCCTTGCTGCAAGCAACTTGAAGGCTGGATTCACGTGTCGTAAAACAAACTGAGCCACGTATTCTTGTCGTTCGGGATAGTCTCTGTAGTAGAACTGTGTCATCCCGATTGGGTCAGTTGTATCCAGCGGTACATCCAATAAACTCAAATCCACCAAACTATGTAGCCCGTTCCGTCGGATAGGGAGATAACAGTCCCGTACTGAATCGCGGTGGATGAATAATCGACGAAAAGTTCCTTGCTCCACTCCCTGTTTAATCTCTCTCGCATAACCTGAGTCAAGTAAGAAATGGCTCAACTGTCTCAGAATTGTGCCAATTTTGTTGGCTTCAACCGAGTCCGATTCAAGTCCAAAGTATCGACAAATTTCGACCGTTTGCTCATCAATATCAGTCGTATTATATTCCATGTCGATGGTATCCGGTTGTCGGTTATCGAATCTGGAGTTCTGTCGCTGTTCAGCTTGGCGACGATTATCCGGTTCACGATGACCTTCTAGTTCACGTCTCTCCCCTGACTCAGGCTGCGACGGTTCATTACTCGCCGGTGTAGCCGGTTGAAGGTCACTATCCAGAATTACATTCCGTCGATGGGTTACATTCTCTTGAGATGCGGTTTCCACAACTGAGCTGGTTCCTTCCATCGCATCGTCTTCTTGTACGACGCTCACAATTGGATCCACGACGTGAACCATTGACTCCACCCGCTGATACTTTGGGGGTGAATCTTCCCGTTCAGTGCTTGATGACCTTTTGCTTGCGCCCGAGTCAAAGGTCGCATAAAATGCAGCTCTCTGTTGCCATCTCTTATCCTGTGGGTCAGGCGTTCGATTTCGCGTATGTTCACGTCTTTTATCCCATGACCTTTCGGGTGTTGACATCCTGACGTTACGATTCCGGAATGCAACTCCCATCGGCACCTGATGCCCTTGTTTTTCAGGCTCTGTACGGAACGTCTCCGCACGCCGTTTTTCTTCACGTCCTCTCGTCGCCGCCAAAATCTTTGCCGTATCGATTTTCCTTTGAATACTCGTTTCTGTAACTTCGTCTCCATGGCGCACCCATCCTCTTCCGCCACGGTAATCTCTATCATGAGAACGTTCGCGTGACCTTTCGTTGCGGTAGTCACGTGTCCTTTCACGAGAGTGTTCGCGTGACCTTTCTCTCTGTCGTTCAGAAGTTCGCTCATATTCTCGTGAATGTCCGCGTGACCTTTCTCTATGCGGGGGCGACCGTGGTCGTATAAAGCCTTCGTCCCGTTTAAAATTTCTGAATGCTTGCAGCACATCGCTTTCGGTTCGGCGAGATTTACGTAGGTCATCCATACGTCTTTCGACTTCCTTCTTTATGTAGGGTGCCGGCGCGAACCCGTCTTGAAGTCGTTTCTTCTCCCGCAACAGCATTTTGAATACCTCGTCTGACATGGCAGCTGGATCTTTCGTTAACGTTTCAATTTGTATGATAAGCGACTGTCGTACAAGTTGCATTTCGTCTTCGTTAAGGCTGGCCATGCCCGTAGGTGCAACTAAACTCGATGTGCTGGGCAGTGATTCTCGTGCAGCCTGTTCACTTGCTCTTTTATTTTCCGCATTAATTTTCGCGCGGATTTCGTCTTCCATCTGCTGAGCTCGCATCTTCGCTTGGTCTTCTTCAAACTTCTTCCGATATGCGTCTGTTTGTGGACACTTCAACGGCTCCAGGGTGTCATCCCAACCAGGTTCATTGTTCCGGATCGCTTCTCGATAACGATCTTCGAATAGCATTCGCTCTTCTACAGGGATGCTGCCGTAATTCCTTGCACTTATCAGGTTACGGAAGACGTCCAGGTTCCCACGTTTAGCTTCCGAGACTCCAACAAGTGAGACAATATGTGGGTCGTCCAGCTTGTGAATGCAAGTGTAGCAAGGGAATTTCTTATCAACCTTTTTGTTGTTCCGTAAGCAGTCCGGACACTTTGGATTATAGCCCGTAAACTGATCGATGTCTGCCGCCGTTCCTGAACCTTTAGGAGTGGCTTGACCTTTTTGTGCCATCTTTCTTCTTTAATCTGCAATTATAAAACAATCCATCATAGTAACCTTTTCGACGTTAATCCTTTCCATTCTTATCCGTTATCAAGGCTTTCTATCATTTTTACGCCTATTCCGTTACTGAGCTGAGACTTTCTTAGCTCCTGCTGGCTTTTCTATCACTGTAACGTGGTGACCTTTCTCACGTTATCAGCACTCTCTGACTACTGTGACCTTTTCTATTAGTCCTATTGCTGCTTTCAGGTGACCTTTCATAACACTTTTCTCTTTCGTTTTGAACTATTTTATGCTTTTTCTGTAATATGCAGGGTTCATTACTCGCTGCATATTACACTCGGTTAGTTCACTCGGATTCTTTCGTCGATGGTTTATACGGCTTGAAATCGATTCGGCCATCTGGCTTAATATGAAGCACTTCGTCCGAGATCAAGGCTTCAACGGCATTCTTAATCCACTCCTTATCGCTTTCAATATTCAACTCTCCCAATTCATAATTGACGGACATGAAGTTCGAAAGGTCATTCCATGACGCTCCATTTGTACCGCCGATGGCGTCCAAAGCCACGTCTGTGATGGCTATCTTCCAGGCCTCCAATTCCATTTTCAATCTGGGCGTTCGTTCCTGACCCTGTTTCGGAAGGTAGTAAACGACTTTGTTATCCTTATTGTATTTACATCCCAGCTTTCCTTCTTTATATGCTCGTTTCAGAGCTCGTTCAGTCATGTTAAGTGACGACCTTCCGTTTGAATTTATTGCCACTTGTCTCTTCAGATCTGTACCAAGCATCTCTTTTTCTCGGATGATCTGGAGCGCGTTCTGGACTTCGTTCCATGTACGATTATTCACGTCCAATGCCGGCCCTAACATGTAATCTGTAGCCTCCTTTGCCGGTGTTCCGCTACTTTTCTGGGAGGATGTCGAGTCCGTTGGGTCAGCCGTCGCTGTCTCGTCGATCCTCAGCTTTGCCAGTGATCCTGATGATGACCCCGCCGATTTTGGTTCGGCTGTCTTCTTCTCCTCCTGTGGCAAAGTCTCTTGACCTTTTAAATCGCCGACCGACTTCGATCGTTCCTTCTCAAAGACGTCCTTTAATGGTATGAACAGTGATTTGTGAAACACCTGGCGCGCCGAATCCGCTTCAGCTTCTGCCGCTGCCTTATCCATCGGGAGCATGACCTTTTCTTTCTCCCGTTTGTCTGAAGTCTCATGACCTTTCGATTGGACTTCTGCGGTAGTTCCAGATGTCTTTTGACCTTTCGACTGTTCATCTTTTTCTGTCGCAGGTCCAGAAGGAGCCGTTATTGTAGTATCGTCATCACTTCCCGATTCCGAGTCCATTGGGCCTTTTGTCTTCGATGAAACTGTGACCTTTTCCATATCCTGACTGTCGGACATATTACAGTGGATCTGTCTTTCCGGTGGTATTAGACCAACTCTCGTGTATCGGATCGGGTGTCCTTTGTGTGCGTTTGTCGTGGCAAGGACGTTCTGTTTGATCAATCTCGGCAGCACACGCTCGGTTGCCGTATCGATTTCTTTTATCATCCCGTTCCGTCGTTCCAAACTGCGTTGATGTATTGGCTAATCCGATGACTCGTTGATCCTAACGGGCTTGTCATTCCTGCGATTGCCCTTTCTACTCGCATTGGGACCGCTTCATTCGGAGTTGTCAGCGCTTTATCCGAACTGGCTGGTCTGAACAACTTGGCCTCATACGAGAAACTCGGGTGCTTCTGTATAAGTTTTCCTGCGTTCCGCGCGAATTCCAATACGACGTCGAACTTTTGTTTAGTGAAGCTACGATGTTGTTTCTTCAAATACGTCTTCAGGCCTGCTTTAAATTTGGATGTCACCGATGCTGTTCTTATTCGTGTGAAATTCTTTTCAGCTCCGTTATACGCTCTGATTACTTCATCGACCGTGTTCAAATTATCATCATCGGGACCATCAAATTCTTCGTCTGAGGTGAAGTCCAGTTCACTCTCTCCATCTGGTTCAGTGTAATTAACCGTCGCTAATGCGTCGATTTTCGTGACTGTCTTGCCCTTTCCTTTGGTCTTAACGGGTTCGCTCTTTGCTTTTTTCCCTTTATCCAGAGCTTCCGCTAAGCTTCTTGGTTCGGTGGTTCTTGATCGTGTCGTTTTCGAGTCCGTGTGTGACCTCGCACTAACCGTCGAAGTGCTTGGAAGGCTCACTTCCGATGCCTCCGATTCACGCGACGTCTCCCGTTTCGCTTTTTCGCGGATCTGTTTGTCCTTGCGCTCCTTTGGCGTGGATGCGGAAATGACAATGGGGACAGCTTGTTTCACCGCTATGACCTTTCCTTTGGGTTTTGATGGCTCTGCTGTAGCCGATTGGATAACTTTCTTTGACTTCGTAGGTGTCGATGACCTTTCTTCAACTTCGCCAACTGACTCGTCCAATATCTCAACGTCATGCGACGCTGGTTCATCTCTTTTCTTCTTCCCGGTGCTTGTGCTATCGCTTTCGTCACCGCTCTTCTTCTTCTTATCTTCTTCCTCCTGTCTTTTCTTCTTCTCTTCTTCTTCTCTTCGTTTTTTGAGAAAGTCGCCTTTCTTAACCTTGTCACGGTTCATGGCCTCTTCCAATCTGGGCGCTTTCCTCGGTTTGACTTTTGAGGGCTTCGCTTTTGAGGGCTTTTTATGTTTGTCGGCCGTTTCTTCGTCTGAGCCTTCTTCCTCAGGTGGGTCCTCGTCTTCCGACTCTGGTTCGTCGTCACCAGGTGGATTACAATAGGCACAGTTTGGTTCATCACACTGAAGGTGCTCATGACTTCCCTGGGCAATCTCTAACACTCTTTGTAGAGAACGTCTTGCCCCTCCGGTTTCAGTTAGATTTGCCGACGTGCCCGGCGCCTTCTTGTGCCGGGGGATGAATTTCCAGGTGTCTTGTCTCTTTCGGAGATCCCTGTGAGGCGACCTCCCACAAAGGGTTCTTCTTAGCGTCGTAAAATACCGTTTTGTACGTTCCATCTTCCATTCGTCTTGTGAGTCGGAAATGTGCTCCATCAATCTCCGCTCGATGCCGCATCATGCTGATGAGTGTGCTCGCTTGAACCACGGCATCTTTTCGGTCGCTTTCCGGTATCAGACCCCATAGCTGGTCAATAGCTGCCTGATTCGCATTTCGGGCGCTCTCTTCTGATACATCCCATGGGGCATATGGGACCGGGTCTCCTGTTATTGGGTCAACTATCACCGCAGTTATGGTTTCCACAGCTTCTCCATTGTCAGCGAAAAGTCTGAGGGTGACCTTTCTGCTTGTCGCCTCTGTATACCTCGGGACCGACTCATAATCATCTGACGATCGTTTCTTCGGATCTGGATCCGCCGTCGGTTTTGAGCGAGTTCTCTCTTTGATCAACAGTTTGCCGTCCGTTGTGTATGTATATGCCAAGTGGTCATCATCTGTGCCCACTTTGATACGGATCCATGCATCTTCTTCGGTTGCAACTTTAGATACCACGTGCTTCATCATCTGAACGATAACTCTTGGGTTATGACGTTCTTCTGGGGGAATAAACTGTAGCGCCTCATTGACTACCGTTTTTGACTCTTTCCCAATGGCATCCTTAACTGACCTATCCGCGAGGGGATTATACGAGTCGATCTCTTTGTTCGTTTTCTTATCGACTATTCGTGCAGTGACCTTTCGTTCTTTATGATCTTCCCCAGTGTACTTGGCCGTGAAACTTCTACACTTCGGGAATCGAATCTGACCTTCTGTTCCTTTCGGCGTGGGTGGTACACTCTTTCTACCCACTGGAATCGGGGCCTGTGGCTTTGCCGGCTCAGCTGGTGTTGCTTTGCTTTCTGTGGGCTTCTTTGTTCGCTGCCCTTTCTTATCAGTTTCTTTTGGGCTTGTCGTCGGTGATCTCACTCTTTTTCCACTCTTCGTGGTGCCACTGGATGGTTCTGTGACCGAACTAGTACGTCCACGTCCTGATCCTGCAACCGAGCTGGCCCGTGACCTTTCTGCTCGTTCCGTTAATACGGCATCAATCTTCTGCTTTGTGGCCAAAAGGTCCTCGTCCGTCATTTCATCAACCGGGGCATCTTTTTCAGCTCTGGGTTTAGATGGTCCCGCGACGCTGGTAGGATGCATCTGTCTTGTTTCCGGGAACACTTTAAGATACCTAAGGATCTTTTCGACGATCGAAGGCCATGGCCTACCATTTAGCGACGGGTGGTATTGCCACATCGACGCAACTTTTATCGCGTATTCCCTGCGCTCTTTTTCGATCAGTTTCGTCTTTTCCTTCAGGGCGATATGACATGGTTTAATGACGGCTTCCAGACTGATCAACTTTCCGTACCATGCGTGCTCGTCTTTAACTCGCATGTGAATTCTATAAAGTTCGCGGCATTTCCGATTAAATTCCCGGATAGCTTCCAAGTCGTTCTCCGTCAATTTTTCCTCCTTATTCGGAATCATATTTAAGCTTACGTCGTCTTCTCTCAAATCCAAAGGAAGCTTCGGTGCGTATGCGTGTATTGAGGGTTCACCTGGGGGCGTAAGCCGTAAACCATCTGGTCCAGTCTCGTCCAAGTTTGGACCCAGTGACGGTAGAATGCCTCTCGGTCGCCTTCCTCCTCTGTGTGGCGAATTACGATGAGGGCGCTGCGCTCCAAGTTGCTGCGGTGTTCTCATACGAGGCGCTCCGATATCCGACAGTGACAAGCCTCCCGTCTCCGGAAAAGGCGGTAATATCGGAGATGACCTTTGTGATCGTGGTGGAGTTCCGCTGAATCCACCATGTCCCGTAAATCGACTCGGTGTGGTCTGTTGCGGTGGCGGCATCAACATTCTTGCCGGTCCCATCATTACTTGTGGTGGTCCCATCGGTGGGGTATACGATCCTGGATACGGTTGATAAGGGGCGCTCGTTGCTTGTCCCGAATACTGGGTTCCGGCAGGTGAGCCGTGGTGCACCCAGTTAACCGTGTCCTGATAATTCGTCTGCTGTCCTGGGTCGTGGTACACGTAATACCCCGGGCCGCTGTAGTAACCTCCTTGACTTGTTCCGGGTTCATTCTGAGCCGTTCCCACTGACGACGTCGATCCTTCACCATATGAGGTGTCATAACCGTATTCACCTTCCATTCTTATAGGTGTTGATGCTTTTAGTGGGTTTCCGATACTTTCCGAGTCTGAATTATCCGAGTTTTGTCGTTCCAATCTGTCCATTAACTGTGCTTACCTTCTATAAAACGAAACAATAAAGGTTAACTTTTTGCACAGTGGTGACCTTTCTTTTTGCCTTCCCAACTCCTATTTTTAATTAAGTGTGACCCCTTATTTATGTCTATGTGGTTATTTGTTCTCTCGTCCTTTAGTTATCCGATCAAGGAGTTCTTTCTCGGCTGCGTCCTCAGGTTCGCCTTTTTGGGTCAATAAGTCCGTAGGGGTCGGTTTCTTTTTCTTCTGTTTGACTTTCCGCTCGTTAATTGCTTTCGCTATATCACGGCCCAATTGTTCAGCTTTTGATTTGACCGCTTCTATCTCCTCTTCTCTCTTTTGTATGAGGTCATTCTCATAACCGGTAACAGTGCGTGGTTCGAAAAAATTCGGGTCACGCTCTGACATCTCAGCGTCCGTACGCTGTTTCGAAAGGTCATCCTTATCTTCGGTAGCAGTGCGTGGTTCGAAAAAGGATTGTTGCAGGTCCTTTTTGGAGGTACGCTCTGGTACTTTGGAGGTCGGTTCGTTGTCTTGTTCCAGTGACCTTTCTGCCAAATTACCAGCCTCCGCGTTCAACTTAATTGTGACTGCTGTTTCGAAATCCTTATCCTCTTTCTTTTTCCTTCCTCGCTTCTGTTTCGGTTTATCTCCGTTTAACCCATTCGTTTGACCTTCTCCCATTTCAGGTAGCGGAGGTGGTTCGAAAAATGGCTTCTGTTGTGTGACTGAGTCATTTTCGGACTCCGCTCTGATTCGTCTTCTTTTCCGTTAGCTTTCTCCGTTTCGGGTAGCAGAGGTGGTTCGAAAAAAGGTTTTTCCGAATCTTTTTGAGTACGCTCTGTTGCCTTTTCCTCATCTGGTAATGGCGGATGCCATGGTTTCAACCGGTCGATCGAAACCACTTTTAAGTCTGCTTCCTTCTTCGGGTTCTGCTCAATGACCTCGGCTTCGTTTGGTCGCGGGAAACTGAGAATCTTCCACACTTTATCGTATTTCGACTTAAAGTCCGATTGGTTTTCTTTCTTCCCTTGTTTCGTATCCTTTGGTAGTCGTATCAATACGAAATCTCCCACTTTGAAGTTCGGCTCCGATTTCTTCTTATTGTAAATTTCCGCATTTTTCTCATAAGCGTCTTTGATGTTACATTCGCCACCTCTTCGGCCAAAGGTCAAGTTCTTT